CTCCTCTCCCCCCTCCTCCCTTCTTCCCCCCCTCCTCCTTTTTTTCCATTAAGGATTTTTCTTTGTGTGTTGAGACTAGGTCTCACATATCCTAAGGTGGCCTGGAACTTGCTATATGTAGCCACTTTGAGCTTCTGATCCTTCTGCCTCATCTCCTGAGCGCCAGGATTACAGCTGTACATAATGATGCCCATTTTCTTTATTAGTTTTTTTAAATTAGCATTCAGAGTAGATACTGATTCATTTCTGTCAGTCTGGCCCAGTTTCATCTTCCTGGGAGCCAGTGGGTATAACCCAGGGCCCATCCAGTAATTTGGTAACATGTGCCATGACATGCCCATGTCCACACACGCACACAATAACAATAACAACAACAACAACAACAATAATAATAGTAATAATAATTAGTCGGGAAAGTCTTTAGTAAGCCCTGCTTATCTCCTGCTTATTTGGGTCACCCTTTTGTGACAGTGATGTCAGAATGTCCTAGAGCTGATTGTTGGTTCTTCTCCTTGGTAGCACATCCGTGTTGGGTGGGAACTGTTGCTGACGACCATCGCCAGAACCATCAATGAGGTGGAGACCCAGATCCTGACGAGAGATGCAAAGGGCATCACCCAGGAGCAGATGAATGAGTTCAGAGCTTCCTTCAACCACTTTGACAGGGTATCTCTCCTCTCTCCCTCTCTGTCTCTCTGTCTCTCTCCCTCTCTCCCTCTGTCTGTCTCTCTGTCTCTGTCTCTCTCTCTGTCTCTGTCTCTCTCTCTCTCGTTATTTGAAAGGCAGTTCTGTGAACCTCAGTGTACTTAGTGTACTTAAAATAACATGCATACTCCCACATTAAGTCTTTAAGCCTTGGCAGCCCAGGCTGGCTTTGAACTTGCTGTGTAGCCAAGGATGACCTTCAATTCCTGGTCCTCCTGGCTCCAATTCCCAAGTGCTGAGATTATGAGTATTTTGCAAAGACTCGAGTGCAAAACCCTGATGTGCTTCTCCTTAGTAAATGTTTAGGTAGAGCACTTCATGAAAACGTGACCTACTCTTCCAACACTTAAAGCCTTTTTAATTGACAAAATCAGTGCCTGGTATGTTTTAAGGAAAATGTGCCAACAGAATGCTGATACTTTCCACAGAAAAGGCATATAGAGAATTAAGAACTGGGACTCAAGAGATGGAAGAGTGCTTCCTGGTTTTGCAAAGTTCGGTTCCCAGCATCACAGCTGCCCTGTAACTCCACTTCCACAGGACCTGACGCCTTCTTCTGGCCTCCATGGTCACCTGTATCACATGCACAGACACTTAGACACATACATACACATTTTTTAAAAACTTAAGAAAGCTGGTGGACTGAAGAGATGGCTTAATGATTAAGAGCACTGGCTACTCATGCAGAGGATCCAAGTTCAATTCCCAGCACCCACATGGTGGCTAACAACTGCCCATAACTCCAGCTCCAGGGGCTCCAATGCCCTCTTCTGACCTCTGTGAGCATTGCATGACGCAGGCGCACTTACATGCATGCAGGGAATATACTCGTACACATAAAATAATAATAATAATAAAAGTTAAGAACTGCCTTGTAGAATATTATCTAGTATTTTGATTCAAATACATTGAGTAAAACTGACTCCTTAATGGAAAATTCCCACTTTTCTAATCAGGTGACTAAAAATTACAAAAAGTAATTTTTCAGGGCCACATTCCAGTTGTTAAAAGGGTACACACACACAAACACACAAACACACACACACACACATGACGTTGTGTTACTTTATACAGGACCCAGTTTATGATTTACAAATAGCAACCAGTACTCCCTAAAACGCCTTTAGACTTGGCCCTCCAGATTTGTGCCTATTAAGGAGTTCAGAGAGAGAATTTGGGTCTGGGAGTAAAGAGGTAGGAGCAGAGAGCTGGTATAGAGAGTATGGCTGTCTGCATGGTCCAACAGCTTTCTTAGCAGAAACACATTGTAGCGCTGACCTCAAGACATTCTCCCAGGGAGGGAGAGATTGGATTATCATCTCACACAAACCCACCAGCCTTATTAAGGGCATCTGGCACTTACTTGGGCCTCTTTGTAAGGTAAAAAGCAAAATGATTTAAATTCAAGGAGAGTGCAAACTTGCCAAATGAGGCTTTCTTCCGTTAAACACAGGAGACATGGAAATGGGTTCCTTGGCCTGTAGTGGGGAGTTAGGTCAGGTCAGGGGTGTGGGCTAATTTGTTTCCTATTCTGTATAGACAGCAAGATGGGATGGCTCAGCATGGAGGCTGTGGCTGGAGAGAGTCCTCCAGGAATCAGTTACTGGTGCCTTAGAGCAGGGGCTTAATATGGCCAGAGCTGTGCTCCCAGAGTAACTCATTTAGATGTCAGATTGGGGGTGGGGGTACCAGTGTGAAGGAAGCCAGAAGAGGGTCAGAAGGAAAGGGGGCAGGAAGGAACTGCTGGGCTCAGAGACAGGTGGTGAGAATGAAGAAAAAGGCAGATCTAAGATGGAACAGAGATCCGCAGAGCTTGACAACAGGATTTGGAGGCTGTGGGAGAAAGGGCTCAGAGGAGCTAATAAGCCCTGCAGCAAGCCCCCCCGCACCCCCGCAAAGGTGTCCAGCTTAGAGCCTAGTGGGGTGGGGAGCTCATCTCATAATGATCTTCTCCAGCTAGAGGCAGAAAGGCTGTTTTGCATTTAAAGGAGGTGCCATACCAGAGCTGGGGTGCCAAGAGAAGCCTGTGGAGGGTCCATAAGGCAGAGAGCAGGACTGTGTAATGGCTGAGGACACATGCAGTGGGGAGTGCTCAGGCCCCAGAGCTGACACTCAGGTTCCATTCATACAAAACAGAACCTTCTAACATCCTAGAAAACAGCTCTCTAACATTAGCTTTCCAAACTTGCCGTTTCTTGTTGAACACAATCAGTCAGCATGCCAGTAAATTCACAGTGGTCCTTGAATGGTAGCTGCCTTCCTCCAGACCCCAAGGTACTCACACCTGTACACGCTCCATGTGCCCAGGGCTTTGCATTGGCTGCTCTGCCTCTGTTGAGGTGAGAGCTCTGTCCCCACGTGGCCTGGCAGCCAAAGCCTTGTGGACAGTCTTGCCACTCCGCCTTCTGTAGACCCTGATCAGATTTCAGATTTTGGGAGAAGCTGAGCTTGTGTACTAACAGTCCATTTCTTCTGGCCCTGGGTTCCTTCCCCAGCACTGCATCTGACCCCAGGGTTCTGAGAGTGGCTGATTCCCTAGTTGTTTTAGTTCTAGGACCACTGTCGTCTGGGGAACTTTACAGCTGATGACTAGGGGGTGGGTTAGGGCTCAGCATGGAGAGCTTCCTTTTCTCAGAGCCTGCAGTATGTGCTGCTGTCAGTAGGCAGCTCTAGTGAGCTCCCGGCGAGCTCATTTTGCTCCTTTTTCATTAAAAATTTAATTTATTTGTTTTTATTTTATGTGTATAAGTATTTTGCCTACGTCTATGTAAGTGCACCATATGCATGAAATTCCAAGGGAGCCAGAATAGGGCATCAGGTCCCCTGGAACTGGAGTTATAGATGGCTGTTAGCCACCAAGTGGGTGCTAGGAATCAAACACCAATCCTCTGCAAGAGCAGCCAGTGCTCTGAACCACTGAGCATCTCTCCAGCCCTTCTTTATTCATTTTTAGTGAGTCCTTACAGCTCCTGCCCTTTTCTTTTCCTTTTCCTTTTCTCTTGTGATGCTGAGGACAAACCCAGGGCCTCACGTGTTCCAGGCAAGCAAGCTTCCATCGGGTTCCAGCCCAGACTTCTCGTAACTTTTAAATATTTTATTTATTATTTTCATTTTATGTGTATGAGTGTATTGCCTGCACGTATGTGAGTGCACCCGTGTCATGCATTGGCTC